CATCAGCAGGAGAGGACTCTTTAAAGTAGAGACACTACATACTGATATACACCTGAACATCAGCAGGAGAGGACTCTTTAAAGTAGAGACACTACATACTGATATACACCTGAACATCAGCAGGAGAGGACTCTTTAAAGTAGAGACACTACATACTGATATACACCTGAACATCAGCAGGAGAGGACTCTTTAAAGTAGAGACACTACGTACTGATATACACCTGAACATCAGCAGGAGAGGACTCTTTAAAATAGAGACACTACATACTGATATACACCTGAACATCAGCAGGAGAGGACTCTTTAAAGTAGAGACACTACATACTGATATACACCTGAACATCAGCAGGAGAGGACTCTTTAAAGTAGAGACACTACATACTGATATACACCTGAACATCAGAGGAGAGGACTCTTTAAAGTAGAGACACTACATACTGATATACACCTGAACATCAGCAGGAGAGGACTCTTTAAAGTAGAGACACTACATACTGATATACACCTGAACATCAGCAGGAGAGGACTCTTTAAAGTAGAGACACTACATACTGATATACACCTGAACATCAGCAGGAGGGGACTCTTTAAAGTAGAGACACTACATACTGATATACACCTGAACATCAGAGGAGAGGACTCTTTAAAGTAGAATAATATACATAACTCTGCATAATTAGTACTTTTAAGTTTGGAGTATTTAGATGACTAGAGACTTTAAACTGCTTCGTCATGATCTGTTGTTGTTATTGATGTTCTGTTGTTGTTATTGACGACTCAGCGCTTTGTTGTTTCAGGGTTTAATTTCTCGGTGACTTTATTCACGTCTCAGGCAAAAGTGAAGGTTAATGTACAGCTTTATAAAATAAAATCATCACATGCAGCTCTGACTCTGTGATTTCTTCAGGGACAAAATAATCAACTGGCACAATTCAGTCATTTTTCTAAAATCTCTAAATATATATATATATATAATCTGAGAGCAACAATAAACCTTCTGTATTAAAGAGAATCTAAAACAGTTACAAAAAGATGGATGAGGCAACACGGACGTGTGATGCAGGCCGGGTCATAAGGCGTGTAGCAGCTTCTGCATGAGTAGAAATATATTGCACTTTGAAGACAAACTGAAAAAATAATCCCACAGGTGAGGAGAGTCATGCAGCTCTGAGGGTTCGCTGTGAGGCTAGCTGCCGTCTGTCCGCTCTCTGCTGCTTCTTGAAATGTTGTGTTTCAAGCTGTCAGGATGTTTACAACACGGTGCTCATGGAAACACTTCACTCTTCTTCTTCTTCTTCTTCTTCTTCTTCTTCTTCTTCTTCTTCTTCACTTCTCTCGCAGCACACACACTCCGGCGTCGCAGCGCTGCGTCGCCATGGAGGTCACGACCTCCCAGGAGTCGATGACGGGGTCGTAGCACTCGATGCTGCTGAGCAGAGAGTTCCCGTCGTACCTGGAGACAGGAGGCAGGACATTTCCATTTAAGGATTTTTTTTTTTTATATGGTCGTCATCTCCGAATTTTGACTTTTTATAAGAATTTCAACTTTTTCTCGGAATTCAGTTTTTTATTCCAGAATTTTTCCCCCCCACAGATTTCAGAATTTTCTTTAAATTCAAATATTCTCAGAATTTTGACTTTTCTAAGAATTCTGTTTTTTTCTCAGAATTTTCACTTTTTTCTCAGAAATTTCCCAGATTTTTTACATTTTATAAGAATTTGTACTTTTCTCAGATTCTCGACTTTTTCTTGGAATTCCGTTTTTTTCACAGACATTTTTGTTTTGTTATATCGTCAACATCATCGTTATTTTCTCCAAATGTTTACCCTTTATAAGAATTTGTATTTTTCTCAGATTTTCGACTTTTCTTCGGACTTCGGTTTTTGTTCCAGAATTCTCACTTATCACAGAATTTTCTGAATTTTGACCTTTCTTAGAATTTTTACTTTTTCTCAGAATTTTGACTTTTCCCCCAATTGTGCCTCGTGTGCCTCACCCTGCGATGGCGTAGAGTCGTCCTCGCAGCACCGTCGCTCCCACGTAGCATCGCGGCGTCGTCATGCAAGCGACCGTCGCCCAGTAGTCCGTCCGGATGTTATAAACCTCCACAGAGTCCAGGTGGGAGACGCCATCAAACCCCCCCACCACGTAGATGTGGTCGTTCAGCAACGCCACGCCGGCGCCTGGAGGAAGCAGGAAGATTGATTTGATCGTGTATATATAGGTATATACACATTTTTTATACATATTTTTATATATATTTGATTTTGTATTCGGGATTGTGGGAAACTCTCTTTCTCTACACACAAAATGAAAGATTGACAATTAAGTTGACTTTTTGACTTTGACTAAGAGTCTCATAAACACTAGGGGTAGTTCTGGCTCAGGGCTACTTTTTCACCTTTTTTCTGGCCCTCCAAAATCGAGGTTCTTACCGGGCCAACAACCGGGTTGAGTATGCTAAACTAGTGACGGCAAGGGGGCTCCAATACAACATAATGAATATATTTGACCGTGATCAAAATGGTGCCGAAGTAACAACATACTGATACCGGTTAGTAAAAACCATGAATGAATGCTTTGACGAGTCTGCAGACAGACGGCAGGCGAAAAACCTTTTAAAATGCGTGTTTTCTGAATGGAGATCGGCTAAGCTAACGCAGTATATGCTCCGACCGTCCTCTCTCACAACAACGGCCTACAGACATAAATAAACCAGCGACTGTATTCTCCATGACACAGACAGTCTGTGGTTTGTACTTGTTTAACTTCTGTCTAGTTTCTGAACAGATATGAGGAGCTGTGAGCTCTGAGGGCTAACAGCTAACGGCTGATGTTGGTTTTGTGGTTCACATTGAAGATTACGTCATGGCTCCGCCTACACTGCGTTACTATAGTTACTGCCCCAGCTACTAAACTGTAATGGAAACGCAGCATAAAGTGAGCCGGGCCTACCAAGGCCTAGCCATACCGTACTAAGCCGTGCGAGGCCCTGCAGTGGAAAAGCGCCATAAGAACCACACAGACAGTCAGAAACTAGGGAGGCCCCAATGGGACATTTCCCAGCTGATACGGATGTCTAGATATCAGAGATAAAACGACCTCTTGTACAGCACCGAGTCACAAGGCCCAACAATACATATTATCATATTTTTTATGTTATTACAGTTTTCTTCAAATAGTTTGACTTCTTCTCTGATTTTTTTCTCAGTATTTGGACTTTTTCTCAAAATGTTCTTGTTTTTAATGTTATTATAGTTTTCTTCAAATAGTTTTCTATCTGGGTTATTATTTTTTATTTAATTTGATGTATGCACAATGAAATCAAGTCAAATTCCTCGTATGTGTCAACCTACCTTGTAATAAACCTGATTCTGATTCTACTGCCATCTGCCAATGTCAGGTGAGAGTAATGCATTGTGCATCCCTAACAGAAACACACACACGGTTCTTACCTACCTGAGCGCTTGGTGGCCATGGGGGTGACGCTGGTCCAGTGTCCGGTGTGCGGGTCGTATCGCTCCACCGAGTTCAGGATGTTCAGGCCGTCGTACCCTCCTGACAGGAAACAGGGGATCTAACTGTTAGAAATATCTCCCTGGTCCCCGGCTCGAGCTTCAACCTCAGGATCCATGTGTCTGTGATCCTCTCCAGAATGGAGTCATCACACACAGAGCATCAACTAGTTCCTGAACAGTGTCCTTATTGGAGGAGGACATTCAGTGTTTTCACAACACAAACAATCAGAATCCTTTTTATAATAATAATAATAATAGCTATTTATTGATTTTTAATTTGTTATCTGCCCTTCTTGTTTGTTTGTTTGTCCTGGTTTATTGGTGTTTACGTCACCTGTTGGATGACGTAGAGGAGAGGGTGCTCGGGTGCTTTCTGTTGACCGTGTGTCCGGACTTGAATATTGTTTGTTCTGTTTGTTTGTTTTATTTTAACTGTATTTTCATTTTTCTTAAACAACACATACAGAAATTCTTTGAATTTTTACGTTTCCTCAGAATTTTTAGAATTTTCTCAGATTTTCCACCAAATGTTGTAAACACCATGAACTCTATCAGACTACGGCCTCTAGTTTGGAGCGCGTCACAGAGAAGAGAACGTTTGAGCCTCTCAGCGGCAGAACTCAAAGGGAGATTTGCCGCTATAATTATTATTATTGTAATATAAATAAAATGTATAATTAGAGATCTGTACCGAGGCAGTAGATGAGTCCGCTGGCGACCACAAGCCCCGCCCCCTCGCGGGCCGTCTGCATATCTCCCAGCATGCTCCACTGGTCGATGTTCGGGTCGTAGCGCTCCATGCTGGTGTGACGCCGGCTGCCGTCAAAGCCTCCAGCCACATAAATCATATCTGAAGAGGGAAACAACAACAACAACAATACTTATTATTATAATAATAATAAAATATAAGGTTTTAAAAAGGTAAAATAGGCAAAAGAATACATTCGATAAAATGATCAAGAAGTTAACAGATAAGTAAAAAAAGTCAAAGTAAGAAAAATACTAAAATAAAAGTGGATACCAAAGAATGTGTAGCAGCTTTTATACACATTAAATACAAAATAAAAATAGAATAAATTGATAAAACCAAGCAACATTTTACAAATTAAACACAACAGAGAAAAATAAAACAACTAATGCTTTTAAATCAGTGATGTGAGAGGGTGCCGGATCACTCAGAGCTTTGTACACCATGTTTTCAAGATCAATTATAATTCTGTAAACTCTCTGAAGATAGTCCCCCTCACCTCCGAGGGTCGTGGCCCCCGCGAGGCCCCGCCGGACGTTCATGGTGGCGACGGTGTACCAGACGCCGTCCTCGTCCGCCGTGTAGTCCAGACACTCCACCGAGCTGAGCCGCGAGCGCCCGTCGTAGCCTCCGATCACGTACACCCGGTCGTGGAGGGAAACCGTCGCCACGTAGCGGCGCTTTCGGGCGATGTTCTGTCCAAAAACACCAATACAAAAATATCGATTAGAAGACAGAAAGATAATTAACAAGTGTTCCCTCCTCAACTAGGCGTGCAGAGGGAAGGAACACAATATGAAAAGAACCGGGAGAGAGAAAAAAGAGAGGAAGCTGATTTGGGAAAATTAGTAGATAATGTTTAATTATTTGAAAAGGAAGAAAGACTCTGCAGCCAAGTTACAAAACAAACTTAAGATAAACTAAGCGATACACAAAGATAAACTGGAGCACATCTCCTAACAACGAACAAACACAAGTGAGACATGCAGGTCTCACACAGAGACACCGCACTACACATGCTGCACACATCACACATCACAATTAAACATTAACGTTTCCTCTCTCTTTTTTCTCTCTCCCGGTTATTTTCATATTTTGTTTCTTCCTTTGTCCCCCTAGTTGAGGAGGGAGAGTAACAACAAGGGATTCATTGATATGAGATTTTAGACCGTCTTGCAATAAGCTTTAATATCACTCTAAATCCTATTTTATTATAGTATCTATCAAACCTTGATATATCTATTATTTATAGGATTTCTTATAAAAGCTTAATAAGCACTGTAACTTTCATGATATCATTTCTCCGTCATAATCATTTGTTTCCGTGAATGGCCGACTGTTGAGTGACGGCAAATGCTGCGGCTGCAAGGCATTGTGGGGCAGCATTTTCTCCTCTCCTTCCGGTGAGGGAGGTCCAGTGGTTCCTAAGCTAAAGGAGGTTATAAAGGAAGTTTGAAACCTCCTTTCCTATCATTTAGAGAATTGGAACGGCACTTATCATGGCTGCCACTGAGGGACTTCCGGGTCATTTCACTCCGTTAGGAAGGTTCCTAAGCTAAATGGACTTTTGGAACACAACCTGCGTTTGGCG